TTGGGGAATGACCCTTTTTCGTTTGGTTGATTTTTAATTGCGCAGTCTCTGGTCATTTGTAATGATGGTGCTTCATTGTAGGAAAAGCAAAATGTCCCACCAGTTGTTGCTTTAGGGAAGTGGCTATAGACGACATTGAGTAAGGAAACAAAATCTGCAGCAGCCACAGATTGGCACAGCTTTCAATTGAAGTTTCCTTTGTTGTACATTCTGCTGTCCTATATAGTCATCATTTATAAACTTTACAGCATCAAATATTGTAATCTGGTATCGGTTGATAACTAGCAACACGTTCTGATATTTCCCTTCTATTTGCCTGTAGAGATGTGCTTTCATTTCTAATCTCTCTCCTTATTATCACAAAACAGAAAAGCTTTATTTTAAAACACATGGTACGTGAGTGGAATGTTTTTTATGATTACATGCACCATTTTCTTGAAAAGCAAATTCTTATTGTTTGGATCAGGGGAAAAAAGTTAATAAAACAAAATGAAAGAACGTATTCCAGGGGGAAGCATTTCCCTTCAAAAGCTGTGTATCTTGGAAAACTGTAGTCATAATCAAATCTTCTGCCTTGTTTATGCAAAAAATATTTAACATGAGGAATCCTGTAGGGATTGTTTGATTTTCATAGCTCTCTTGGAGACAGAATGCAAAGCGGAGCGCTAACATAAACAACTACTGTAATTTGTGCAGGCATCTTTAAAACATTAATTTTCTAAAAAGAATTGTTTTTATGCTTTGTACTTTAGAACTATGCAGCTGTTATAAACCTTCTAACCTGATCGTGAAATGTTCCTTCCTTGTTTAATATCGCAGATCAGAAAAAACAACCATGGGTCGATTTGGGTTTCCCTGTGGAAACCAATAATTTCTATCTTATTGCTGAAAACTTAATGGTGCCATTTTGCATAGCAGGAGTAGCCAACGTTGTTTTGCAAACGTCCTATAATACAAGGGCATGGGGAAACTGTGATTATGTGGCTGTTGCTAGAGTCCAGCCATTGGCCATGTTGACTGGGGCTGATGGGAGTTGGAATCCAACTACAGTGGTACCTCGGGTTACATACGCTTCAGGTTACATACGCTTCAGGTTACAGACTCCGCTAACCCAGAAATAATGCTTCAGGTTAAGAACTTTGCTTCAGGATGAGAACAGAAATCGTTCTCCGGCAGCGCGGCAGCAGCAGGAGGCTCCATTAGCTAAAGTGGTGCTTCAGGTTAAGAACAGTTTCAGGTTAAGTATGGACCTCCGGAACGAATTAAGTACTTAACCTGAGGTACCACTGTACAAGCAGGAGGGAAGCACACATCCGACTCTTACATGGTACAGTGGTACCTCAGGTTGCAGACGCTTCAGGTTGCAGATGCTTCGGGTTTCAGACTCCGCCAACCCAGAAATAGTACCTCAGGTTAAGAACTTTGCTTCAGGATGAGAACAGAAATCGAGTGGTGCCAGCGTAGCGGAGGCAGGAGGCCCCATTCGCTAAAGTGGTACCTCGGGTTAAGAACAGTTTCATGTTAAGAACGGACCTCCAGAACGAATTAAGTTCTTAACCTGAGGTACCACTGTATATGGGGCCTGGGAACTAGATAAAATAAAGACTAGAGGAGTAAGCAGAGTGAAGCTATTTCAGGCACATATCCAGCCAGCATGACCAGTGGTCAGGCACGATGGGCTCCTCATCTTGGTAATAGGGGAAGGAGAGAAATAGGTTCGAACAGTGCTTCCCCCCCCTAGAAAAATATAGGTGCAGGAACTCACCATGAATTTGTTACAGTAAGTGCCGCCCTTTTTAACAACCAAAAGAGGTGCCGCCACTGTGTAACTTGAGTACCCTCTTAAAAAAGCACTGGGTAAGAAGCTGATGAGATGAATAAGAGTGCTAGTCAAAGGGATATACATGAGTCCATCAAGCTCAGCGTTGACTGACAGCGATTCTCCAGAGTTTCAGACAGGAGCTTTTTCCAGTCTTGCTTGAGACACCAGAGATTGAATTTGGGTCTTTCTGTGTGCCAAGAATGTGTTCTACCACTGAACTGAGTCCCTTCTCCTTGAGGTTCTGCAGAAACTTGAATACTTTCTGCAATCTTCTCTTGTTAGCTTCTGTTGTCCTGCCAGGGAGCGTGTATAGAATGGGAGGCAGTGTTCTCTCAGGCAGGCAATGTTGGCTCATCATTCCTGCTAACGACTTGCCACAATTTCTCTTATAGAGCATATTTTGCCTCTGCTGAATGTCTTCATTTCTGCTTAGCGTCTCCTGCCATCAGACTCCCGCATCCTTTCCCTGCATGGCTCCCATTTGCTTCAAGGAAGCTCGCACGGCAACATCTCCCTTTACTAATATAAAAATGGTATACAAATGGCAGTGAGCAGTGATCACCACATTTTTTAACGGGTAATGTTCCAAATCTGTGTCTTCTCAAATGCTCACGTATGAAGCTAAGGTTGTAAATCAAGCATTTTTAATTGCACTTGCGCCATTGCCAAAGAACGTGGCATCCATTATTCCCAGCGGGATTAGAAACGCTACTTAAAACCTTACATTAATCATCACTTCGAAAATATGCCCTGCTCTCAAATCAGCACTATCTCTTTAAGTAGGCTTTGATTCTGTTTCTTAGACTTTATCCAAAGACAAATGAGAAGATCAAGTCCGTGCAAAATGCAACCCTGAGAGCAAGGAGATTTGGTGATTAATCCACCTTCTTGGAGGATGTTCCCAGAGGAGCTTTCCATGCTCCTTGTCTAATGCCATAGCGCATGATCAGAAATGCAGGAATAGATAGCGCTGGCCCTGGTAGGCTTTTGCAGAGCCTTCCTCCATCCAGGCTACACCATCCAAGCTGAGCCAGTGATCTCCCATGTTGGATGCGCAGGATGGCAACTGGGTCACCTGGTGCCATGTGGCTTGTAAATCTCGGATAGTTTGGAGTTCTGCCAATATTTAACTCAAGGTGCCTTCCACCAGGTTTTATACATGTTATTTTGGGCTCAGATCCAATATGTTGATTGCCTGTAGCATAAAAACCATGGAGGATCATTGCTCATGGTTGTGATGTCTAAGATCTCTGATACAGTCCCTGGTGTCTCCAGGTATCAGACTGGGAAAGGTCTGCTCAAGGCCTTGGGGGACCACAGGAATACAAGAAGCTCTCTTATTCGAGTCAGATCACTGGCCCATCTAGTTCAGTCCTGGCCACTACCTTAATTGGCTGCAGCTGACCAAAGTTTCCAACAGAGGGCATTCCCAATCCCAGCCCTGCTTGTAGATATCAGGGATTGGGCCTGGGGCTTGTGCAAGCAAAGTATTATGCCTACTTTAAAAAAAAAGTTTGATTTTGTTGGTTTCTTAATATTGACTATTTTATAGTTTTATGTAAACCGCTTAGAAGCTGTTGTTGATTAAGCAGCATAGAAGTATTGTTAAATGGGTAAAAAAACAATTAAAATAAAGCATGTGCCACTGCCATAATGCTGTTATTCTGATCTGTGGTACAACCAGATTTGGAATGGCTGTGCGTTTTGGGTCTCCTTGCGTCAAGAAGGATATTGTAGAGCCCGAAAAGGTTCAGAAAAGGGGCAACCCAAGTGATCAGCCTCCAATGAAGGGGCTGTTTAGTTTAGAAACAAAAGAGAGTGAGGGGAAACACAATAGATAAGTTTGAAGGAGGTGGACCGAGAGTTTTTCTCCCTCTCGTGTAATACAAGAACTTGGGACCACATAATGAAGCTGAAGAATGGAAGATGGGGAGATTCAGCACGGACCAAAGGAAGTAAACTGTGGAATTTGCTACCATAAGACGTAGTAATGGATGGCTTTTTGTTGTTGTTGTTTAGTCGTGTCCGACTCTTTGTGACCCCATGGACCAGAGCACGCCAGGCACTCCTGTCTTCCACTGCCTCATGCAGTTTGGTCAAACTCATGCTGGTAGCTTCGAGAACACCATCCAACCATCTCGTCCTCTGTCGTCCCCTTCTCCTTGTGCCCTCCATCTTTCCCAACATCAGGGTCTTTTCCAGGGAGTCTTCTCTTCTCATGACGTGGCCAAATTCTTGGAGCCTCAGCTTCACGATCTGTCCTTCCAGTGAGCACTCAGGGCTGATTTCTTTAAGAATGGATAGGTTTGATCTTCTTGCAGTCTATGGGACTCTCAAGAGTCTCCTCTAGCACCATAATTCAAAAGCATCAATTCTTTGGCGATCAGCCATCTTTATGGTCCAGCTTTCACTTCCATACATCACTACTGGGAAAACCATAGCTTTAACTATATGGGCAAATTCCTGGAGGATAAGGCTACCAGCCATGATGGCAATGTTCTACCTCCACTGTTGGAGGCCTCTGGAAGTATTCCCAGTTGCTGGGAATCACAAGTGGGGAGAGTGCTATTATATTTGGGTCTTGTTTGTGGGCTTCCCATAGGCATCTGGTTGGCTACCGTGAGAGAACAGGACGCTGTACTTGATGGTGTGATCCTGCAGGGTTCATCTTAAATTATTATGTTTTTCCACTGATCAACTAGCTTTATCAGCCAAAGTAAATAGCACCAGGGGGACCATGGGATCAATCCTCTGATATAGGATAGGACACACGTACTGCATTTACTTTATTTAACATCCTCATGTGTTTAACGAGGTAATTTAACAGGTCTTCAAAGTTCCTTGAGAGCATCAACAGGGCAGTAACTTTTAATTAAGCATTGTTCCTGGTGAACAATGAAAATGTATCTGTTGCGTTCTGTAGATATGCATCCAGTCTAAACACCCAAACCCTTTATAATAATAGTATTTATAGGGTGTCTACTACCCTAACAAAAAGAGCCTTTCATAAATGCTGATTCATTAGAACGCGCACACACGTCCTCCCTCCAGGTATGAATTATCCCCAAATTACAGGTTTAGAAACTGAGGCCGTGAGAGCCTAAAGGGTTTGCCCAAAGCCACAGCCAAGAATAGAAGCCAGGAAGAAGATGCAGCTTTAGTTGAAGTGGGTGGACGTGGCAGTGGGGGCTGTAGCTATTACCACTAAGCTTACTGGTGACTTCCAGTTTCCTGGTCTCCCTCAGTTTCATAATTCCTAGCCACATCTGTACTTGAACATAATTTGGCTGTGTGTGTGTGTTCAAAGAAGTAGAATATCAGCCTGAGTCAGGTTTCCCACAATGCATCACCTTCCTCTTGAACAAGACTGATTCTCTGGTATATTTAACTGGAATCACTTAGATTGGCTGTCACTTAAATCCTCCAAATTCACAAAGGCTTGGCCCTCTAGATGAGTCTTCCCCCACTCTCCAGATGTTATTGGCTACAGCTCCCATCATTCATGCTTCTTAGCTTTTGTAGCTAGTTTTCTTGCTGATTATTATAGCCACCTCAGCCCTTTTGAGAAAGACAAGGTCTATTTTAAAAAATAAATAAATACGTAAATGAATGAAAACTACCAGGTGAATTACCTTTTGTTCATTGGCAGCTGAACAAAATAATGGATGGATGGATTCTCATTTTAAAAGTGTGTGTTGCATTCAACTCCAGTAGAAACCAATGGACTGAAACTTGTCCATAGAGTTCAATGGGTCTCTCCTACGTATGAGCATATTATTGCTGTTTTGTGAGCGACTGCAAACCACCCTGGATATTTTTACAGTTGAAGGGTGATATAGAAAAGTTATAAATGAATGAATGAAGAAATAAATATACTGTAGATGGTTGTTTCATTCTTCTTGCCTCAGTATCCATGCCCACGTTTAGGAAAGCTTTTGTCCATGTCGGGAATATGCAAAGAAATCACAACTGAGCTGCTTCGAAACAGATACTGCAGGAGGCATCCAATCAGTTTCTTAAATTTGCTTTTGTTGTAGGATTACCATGAAATGGGTAGCAACCAAAACACAAACACAATGAAAGAATAAACATTGTGTGATACAGAAGTATAACTATTGTGTGCCCCATGTCGCAATGTATTATCCATCTGATATGCGCAGCAAATTTGCTTAGGGTTGTTGAGTCATTTGGCTTGTTTTCCTTTGCATTTTAAGAGAAGAAAGTAGATTCTATTGTATCTGTATTTTTAGCTTTTTATTCTTCTGAGCTACCATGAGAGTCTGCCCCTAGGCTAGCTGGCAGGATATAAAAATGGGTTAGTGAACACACACACACACACACACACACACACACACAGACACAATAGCACTCAGTTCTAAACAAACTTCTGAATGTTTTGAACAACTCCAGTGCATCTGCACAGAAATACTACTACTACTACTACTACTAATAATGCATTAGACTGAAGAAATATTTTCAGACCTAGTTTTTGAGTTGCAACAGATCAGTACCTATATCAAAGAAAACCCCAACATAAACCATTCCTTCCTCAAGGTGCAATTAGCTTTAGGGGGATAAATCCCAGCGGCTGTAGAGGGAAGGGTTAAACCCTTTGGTGCTGTGGAGGGAGAATGCAAGGGAGCACCTTCCAGGACTTTTTCAAAGCATGTGTTACCTGCCATAAGCCAGAGCGCCAGGGAAAGGTGATAGGAAAGCTGTGGCAAGGGAATGAGGTGATCCTGAGGATCCCAAGTTTTTTGTGTGTGGCAGATTATCATATGGAAGAAATTGGGAGGAAAATAATCTGGCAGAGGCTGGGTTCTTGCTTCCTTTTCTTTGATGGGGTTCCTAATCCTTGCTAGCGGTTTAAATGCTAACACTTTGCAATCACGGTTGCCATTTCTAATGAAAAGCTTTCGTTTTAACCAGCATTTTAGCTGACAGAGACTCTTGTGTTGAAGTTCCATGGAGAAGTCTGTTAGGCGGTATAAGCCTTTGGTTTGCCAGGTTTTTATCTGGAAGTTTTGTGCTGCGTGATGCAATAATGGGTGATGTGCCAAGGGAATTAGTGGGGATGGGGTTGGGGACAGTTTACCTATTTCTGCTTTCCTTGCCTTAAGCCTGGTTTATGTGAACCTGTTCAGTGTTGTAGGAATTTTCCTTAGTTTGTTTGGGAGGAATGGGTTTGCTGTGGTGCAGGTATTTTCAATTGTGTCCCTCTCCAGTTGTACCCATTGTTTTGTCTTGTCTTCCAGTATATATGGGATTATGTGGCGTACTTGGTTGGCGATGTAATATGTTTCTATGTTGGGGATTGAAGTTCCATGTGTTTAAACCTATGTGCTCAGAATGAAGCCACACAGAATTCAGTGGAGCTTGAGGTTATTCCCAGGACACTGTGCATAGGACTGAAGTCATGTTGATGCTTTTAAATTGTATGTCATGTTATGTACTGCCACTCTTTGGGGTGTGTGTGGTTGTAGATGGGGGCAGCTGCCTGCATTTTTTAACCTTCCTTGCAGGCATGGTTATGGAGGCTGCCACAAGGAGCTCCCGTAATCCAAAATTCACCATTACACCACTGATATAGTGAAACAAAGACTTTGACCCTTTGAGAAACCTGAATGTTCAGATCAGAGTCTGAATCCCGGGGAACCTTATCATTGCTCCCTTTAAAATCTTCGGAGAATTTGTTTTCCCTGCAACACAACATAAAAAACCAGTGTGATTACGCCAAGGTAGTTTTTCTGAGATCTTTCTGTTGAAGAACTAAGTCACATCGTTGCAGCCAAATAGCAGATTAGAAACGGGATTCTAGCTGTCACCCTGCATCTGAATTTGACAGATATATAGGTCATTAAATGTTCTTCCCTATTGTCATTATAGCAATGAAGACCACAAGCTGGAAAAATATTTTTTGGATCCCCTGCCACCTGAGCTTAGAAGGGATTTTTTAAATTGTGGTGAGATTCTAGACTATAATTATGGAAGAAACTACGAACCATTATGTGTGAATTGTTGTGGGCTCTATTTAAAAAGTTACAATTTGGCCACAGCCAGAGAAAGCAGAGTACCTCATTAACAGAAAGGACGAGTTTGTTATATACACCTTGTAGGTTTTGCACATATAACAATTAATGGTGATGTCACTTTTGTCCGCAGGATGTGATCTTCTAAGATCACCACCACCACCATTATAAAAAATATATGTATGTACAAATATATATAAATATTCTCAGCTGGCATGTGGCAAAAATGATCTCTGGCCCAAGAAAGGTTATATCATAATAAACTACCACCTGCTGATTTGACATTCATTGATATGGCCACACACAACCCCAATCTCCATGAGTGGTGTGAGATTCCAGGTGCACATTACCCGGGTCTTTGTTTCCTTTGGAAATAAGGCACAGTGGAGACTGTGGTGTCTTTATGATATGTGGTTTATTTACGCAACCTGAGTCTAGAGGGAGAGAGTTCAGAGCATTCATGTTCCAAGTGGGTCTCTTGCTTCTCCCATGGGTGCAGCAGGCTTGGGAACAGAGAAATCGGCCATGCTCTCTGTCTCTTTGCCAACCCACAAGCTGCTCTTCGGCTCCCTCCTTCTTCCTTGTCCGCTAACCCAGTGAAACTTTATCCCTCCAGCCTAACATCATCCAAACTGAAATCCTAAACCCTTTTTGCTTCTGCCTGCTAACACACAGCTGGAAGAAGGGTCTCACCCCGTCTTCACCCTCTTGATAGCTTTATTTCACTGGTCTTTGTCCCTCTAATCAACCACACACAGTTAGGGGTCACCAGGCTGGCTTGGCTTGTTAACATAAGCTTAACCGTGCCTGGAATAATTTAACTCCCCAAACCTTGGCTCATTCTAACTTTCATTGGACCCAGGGATTTAGGGTGTCTTGCACCCCACAAACTCACAACAATATCTTTTAGAGGCTAGGCTGAAGAGGACCTGCAAAAGGACCAATGGTTGGACTCAGTGTAACACAGCATCCTGTGCCTGCACTTTATTTACCAAAACCTTTTCTGGGTTGTAATTAAGAATAATATTTTTCGACTAGGTCTGGTGTAAACCGTGATTTTTGAAAAAGCGACTTTGTATAAATGGTTTTTTGTTATTTTGGGTAAGCCTGTTGGGCATTTATTTAAATAGAAAGGCCATATATTTTTAATTAATTGATTGCATTTGTTAGGGAACAATCCCTTTCAGGTGTCAAGATCAGGTGTCAAGTTATGCAACCCTCTGAAGCCCCCAAATTGTGGATTTTCCTCCCCAAAGAGGTGCATCTGGCTTCTTCAATATATAGTTTGCAGCGAATGCTGAAGACACACTTCTTTACCAGGCCTTGGACACCCTGGGAGATGTGTGTTTTCAGGGCCTGTCCTATTCCTATGGCTGTAATTTGTTTAATCTGTTTTTAATACTGAGTTTTAAATTATTGCAACCCACCCTGGGACCTGCTGGCGAAGGATACATTGCCATTATTCTTATTCTTTAGAGAAAGGCCCACAGCAAAGGATGCCTGCCACAGAAAATGAGTCGAGCTTTCCCGGGAAAAGAGAGGAGGCAAGGATTTTTCACGATCCCGGGCCCTTGTTTCTGCCTCCCTTCCATTAAATACTGACAGTCAATGTGCCAGTTGCATTTGCATTTGCGTCAAACGTTTCACCATATGTTTCCCAGCACTCCTGGTTATGCAATTTCACCGTTCAATTTCATTTATTGTAAAGCGGATTAGTCTCTGCAACATAACCCGAGAGACGTAATCGTATAACATAATTAAACACTACCCCCATCTCTGAGCGGTGTGAGATTCAAGGGAGTTTCAGGCACACTTTGCCCATGGTTGGTGTTTCCTTTTACAAAATGAGGCACAGCAGAGACTGTGGTGTCTTTATGATATTTGGTTTATTTACACATCTATACAACCTGAACCTATGATGTGGGGTGCACAGCATTCATACCCAAGTAGCTCCAGCTTCTTCCATAGCCACAGCAGCCTTGGATTTAAGCAGACCCCCAACACTGCTCTCAGACGTTGTTCTCTGATTCACTTTCCAACCTGTTCCTTACTAGCTCCGATGCATAACTCCTACTGTTCATGTGGTTTGGATACCTGATTACCGTCTTCCAAAGCAACTGCTTTATTCCCAACTTAAGAATGGAAAGTGAAATACTGGTCGACAATAAAAGAAGTTTAAAGACAAGATGGTGGTGGAGATGCTCCTTCAGGTATACTGGGCCAAGGCCGTTTAGGGCTTTGAAGGTCAGCACCAACCCTCTGAATTGTTCTCGGAAACGTACTAGGAGCCAGTGGAGATCCTTTAGGACCAGTGTTATATGGTCCCTGTGGCCACTCCAAGTCACCAGTCTTGCTGCCGCATTCTGGATTAGTTGTAGTTTCTGTATCATGGGATCATGGGAATTGTAGTCCAGAAACATCTGGAAGGGAACAGGTTCTCTACTCTCTTCTAACCCAAAACCTCCCCTTGTGTGTACCTGTTATTTATTGTTTTATCTTCATTTCACTTACTAACTGACTTACTATGCAAACTGTCTCAAGGTGACCGATGATGAAAGAAATTGCACGGGTCCAACACAAAGAATAACATACGCAATGTAAAAATAAATAAATCATAATAATCTATTGCAAGTGATCGTACAAATGATTTTCAAGATCTCAAGAGGTCCTGTGCTGTACAGGTTAAAAGCAGCACTTTCGGTCGGACTCAAAAATGTCTCGCAGGCCACTGCAGATGGGCCAGAATTAGTGCAATATATCCTGACCATCTGGTACCCATGGTCAGTCTCACCCCTGAGTTCTGCACCAGCAGCTGTTTCAAAGGCAGTCTCGTTCCATTCATCTAAAGCTGAGGTTACCCAAAGTGGCTACCCAAGCCACATCAATATAGGGATTGAGCTGGACCATTAACTGAAGCTGTTAGAAGGCATTCCTCACCATGGAGTCAAAATGCCTCCAGTGACATCAATGGATCTAAGAGCACGAACCTGATCCTTCAGGAGGAGGGCCATTCTACCCAGAACTGGTTCAGCACCGCTTTACCCAGGCACCCCAGATAATTGGGTATAGGATTGCACCAAGTTCAGTGGGATTTACTTCTGAGTGCCCTGCGCGTTTGATATACTTGGTATCTCCCAAACACCATACATTATAAATGTGTTGGGCACCCACCGTGGAGTCCCCATTATGTTGTAAGATGCAATTAGGCAGCCCTGTGTGTTGCAACCCCATTGCATTCTGCGGCTAAGCGCTTGTTTCAAAGGCATGAGAGCAAGTGCATCATTACGTCCTTTGCCTCAGCTGACCTTAAATTCATTTCATTCTTTCCTTTCTGGCCACATGGAATCTCAGTAAAGAGTGCAAGTGACTGCTGGCCTATTAACACCAAAAGGTGCAGAGATAGAAAAATACTTGGTATCATTTCACAAGGGAGAAGTCGCTAGGATGAAATATTTCTAGATTCAGAAGTGAGCCAGGCTACTGCAGAAATCGGCCTGGGGATGGGAAGGCATTTGCGGTGGAGAACAGGTGGGCTCCAACTATGGCCACGGTGGGGAACTGACCTCCCCCACTGGCCACTTGACAGGCAAACAGGACCACCCACCTGTCAGTCACCTGATATCGTTATGACATCAGCTGACAACTTTAAGTTGATCAGTCGATTGCTGCTGACAGTGAGCCCTGCTTTCTCCATTTGCAGGTGTGGTTTGATAAATCAAAACCATGCTTAAAGGGTAAAAGGACCCCTGACCATTAGGTCCAGTCGCAGACGACTCTGGGGTTGCAGCACTCATCTCGCTTTTTTGGCCGAGGGAGCCAGCGTACAGCTTCCGGGTCATGTGGCCAGCATGACTAAGCCGCTTCTGGCGAACCAGAGCAGCGCACGGAAACGCCGTTTACCTTCCCGCCGGAGCGGTACCTATTTATCTACTTGCACTTTGACGTGCTTTCGAACTGCTAGGTTGGCAGGAGCAGGGACCGAGCAACGGGAGCTCACCCCGTCGCGGGGATTCGAACCACCGACCTTCTGATCGACAAGCCCTAGGCTCTGTGGTTTAGACCACAGCGCCACCCGCGTCCTAACCATGCTTACAAAGGGACAACTCTGAAAGGCTGCGTTGTTGGTGAGCCACATTTGCCAAGCAACAAATGGGAGTTCCTTTGTGGCTGCATCTTTACCTTCCTGTGGGGCAGGTGTCCATGTTGGGGAAAACAGCCTTGTGGGTCCATATTAGGACTGCCATTAGCCTAAATATTCCAGGCTTGGAGTTTCCACAAGGCTGGTATTTAAGACTTTAGCCTTATTCAATCATAAGAGATAGCCATGTTAAGGTATTTGCATATGAATTAGAAACTTGCTTTTTTGGTACATATACAGTGGTACCTCAGGTTACATACGCTTCAGGTTACATATGCTTCAGGTTACAGACTCCGCTAACCCAGAAATAATGCTTCAGGTTAAGAACTTTGCTTCAGGATGAGAACAGAAATTGTGCTTCGGTGGCGCGGCGGCAGCAGGAGGCCCCATTAGCTAAAGTGGTGCTTCAGGTTAAGAACAGTTTCAGGTTAAGTACGGACCTCAGGAATGAATTAAGTACTTAACCTGAGGTACCACTGTATAGGCAAAGACATACTTATTGCAAGGAAAACCTGAAAATAGGACTTTTATGTTGCTATCCCTCAAAATAAGCATGACCTGTACCCCAGTAATGGCTAAGGTACTTTCAGGCTACCCAGAAAGTGAGTGTTTGGTGCACGCAGAGCTCATACTAGATGTCCGAAAAGGGTTTTTTGTTTACATCTGAAGTTCAAAGCAAGGGGCTTGAAGTTTACTTCATAATTGAGGCCAGCATTATAGCACAGAGCAAGCCAAGCCACATATTGGACAGGACATGGGCCTGTGGGAGGTCTGTTGTCTCTTCATACATTTGAGTCGAACTTGGACATGGGGAAGGTGCACTCCCAGAAGCAGCAGTAGGCAAACTGCATGTATTAATAGCATCAAAATGCACCAGCAATTTTCCAATAAAAATAATCCAGAGATTAAAGATTCCACCGTGTCTGCCTTCTGAAAGAGGAAAAGGCCTGTCAGAAGGAGAAAAGGATCCCACAATTGTGGTGCAACATGTAGCAGGAAATATCAACCCTGGTCTGTGTGCTCTAGCTGTGGATTCAATGTCACCCATCAAGGCAGCCTTCTGCATGGGTCTTAAGGGTGTTAGCAAGGTCCCTTAAATAATGCAAATGGAATCCAGAGAGAAAAGTAATTACTTTACTAAGTAAGCTGAACAAAAACATTGGAGGTGGATGGAACAAAGGGGCTTGGTCTTTCTTAGTTCAGGCCTTGTACATAGCAGGGAGACATTCAACCAAACATACAGAGGACAACTGCCTAGGAACTGCAAAGCCAATTGAGCTATGTGCTACCTCCGTCAAGATCATGACACTGCTTGGTTGCTGGGTTGCCGGGTCATGTGACCAAGCTGAACTGGCTGAGGATGCAACAGAAGTCTCTCCACTCTGGTCCCACCAAGACCTCAACCCTGGAACACCCCTTTTGGGGCAGTTATGCTGGCATTAGCTCAGCTGGAATATGCAAGTTACTGTGGTGTATTTTCATCTGAACCAGGACTGGGGACTGATATATTGCTAGCTGAGCCCAGCTGAGCTGGGAATGAGTCACACGAGTCAGAGACCCACTGCCTCCTAAACTGCTTGTCCCAGTGGATCTTGCCATAGGATCACCCCCTAACAAAATGGACCCTTAAGTTGCAGACAGAACGATCCCTGCTGCACAGGGCAATGGCGGCAACAGCGGGGAGTTCATAACAGATAAGGTGCTTTCAAAGTATGTTGGACTTTGGCCTTACAGCACCATAAAACCCTTGAACTGAATTGCTCCCTTCAGTTAAGGCAGCCAGTGTTACCGACAGAAGACAGGCTGTGTGTATATTCAGCAGCTAACCCCCTCAAGCAGTTTTTGTCTTGTTTTGTTTTGGTGCAAAGAAGGTACCTCTTTCCTGAGATTTCCTCCCAGCTTGGGTTGTGAAACGCCACCAGTCTACCTTTCCTAGATACGGCAACATTCCTCCGAAGTCACAAGACTTTGAGGTGATGCGAAAGGTTACTGACCACCTCAAGCGACAAACTCCGATGGGAGAACGGAGGCTGCCCAAGTCAGGTTTGCTTACCTTCCTTGACCTCTGGGCCCTGCCGGCAGCAGCACTCAGCAAGGGATCTGCGTTTGAGAAATGCTCATGGAACAAATGTAGTTCTAGTGTGGCTCCAAATGTTTTTGTTGTGGTGTATCCCAGGCAAGTACTTTCTGCCCAGGGGGGTGATTTTGAAAGCAGTGACTTTTGGCAGTTGGTATTTGGAGCAAATTGTGCAGGCGAAATGGAACCTGTTTGCTGTCCGGCTTTGGATAAAAATAATATAAAGTAATAATAAAGTAGGTTTTTAAAAAACAACAACCTGACCCCTGCTTTCCCCCAAAGGTCTCTAGTGGGTTAGAATGATAAGCACAGACAGTATATGAAATTTAAAGCATAAATTATGTAGCTCAGTATCCCAGCCCCTCAAGGACTGCCACTTCCCGCATAAACCAATCTGGACTCCTCGTTCGTCATCTGAGGTCCTTCTCCATGTACCCTCTCTGACAGAGGTGTACTGGGTGGTAACACAAGAAAGGGCCTTTTTAGTGGTGGCCCCCTGCTTATAGAATGTTTTCCCCCGGGAGAAACAGTGTCTACTCTTTGGTGCCAGGCAGATATATTTCCAGCCAGGCTTTTGGAGAGTTTTTGATATTGCAGCCTCCTTTAGTGGACGGGATATGTTTGACTGATTTTTTTTTTATGAATATGAAAGTTTTTAGCTTTCCTTTTAGGTTTATGTTGGTTTTACTGTTTGGTTTGTACGTTGCTTTGAGTTTACGTTTCATTAAAAAGTGGCTCACAAATGCAGCAGATGCATACATTAAAAAACTAAATCTCAAAGTTTAAAACCTTTGAAATTTAAACGATAACACCAGAAGATCAATAGTAGTGGTATTAGTAGTATGTATAGCATTATACACACAGTAGGGCATTATGAGGTAAACTACTCATACAATCAGGCAACGAGTTACAAACTAAATTTCTACAGCGGAGGAGACAACAGGGGAAGATCGCTGCTAGAGTTTCATCCAATATAATTAAAATAAATCCTGTTTCCAACGATAACCAGTTGATAGACTGTCCCTTTCTAATCCACTTATCCACTTTTAAAGTCATCTGAATAAGAAGCCATCGCAGTATCTTGTGGCAGTGAATTCCACAAGTTAATTATATGCTGATTGCGGAACTACATTCTGTTGTCTGTCCTGACTCTACCACCAATGAATTTCCTCGCCTGATTTCTTAAGTATTATGACAGAGAAAAATAAACAAATTGCTTCCCCAACATATCTCCTTTAGTTGACGTCCTGATGCTAAAATTAAAGGGTTCCAAATGTTTTAGCATTTCTTCACAGGCGAGGTGCTCCAACCTCTTGATCATTCTGACTGCAACCTGCTGAACCTGTACATTTGCAAACAGAATGTCTTAAGTCACTACTGTCTCCTACTCCAAAGGAAACTGACTATGAA